TTGGTGCTTGGCGGAACGGAACATGGTGATTGGTCTGGCAATACTGGACCTTGCAAATAGTAGATAGATATACACTACTACTGACGTCAATTTTTGAGAGCATTGCCCACCACATGGGATTTAAGCGTGAAAACACTCCAACTGGTTTAGTTCATGAAGCTTGTAGAGATTTCCCTTCTCATTAAATCAGTGAGCTTCGTGGAGTCAATACTATCATGGATTTTCAACAGCTTAAAACCAGTCTCTTTACTCGCCCATAGAGCCGAACAAGTTGAAAGATGTACGGATTAGTCATGGCAAGCCCACAAAGTACCTGCCAAGCATCAGAAACAGAGTTGTCTTGCCCGATGTAGTTTAGTGCGACAGTCCGCAAACGTGTTCGGTACTCGGTAGAACAATACGTCATAGCAACCCATATCGTCCCAATCCATCGTTGTTTGTTTCTGGTTTCTTAGCAACAATGTCTTCCCATCTGCGCGAAATATCTGAAGATTCTGTGGCTTCCCACGATACAGAACTGTCCACAGATGCTCTTTTGGCCAGAACTACCGAAGAAATGCTGGTAGTCACAGAGGATCCACCAAAAGATGAAGACATACTGCTACGGACCCTGAGCGTGCGTTCTATTATATCAATCTCCTCAAGCTTTGCAGAGCGTATGCATAAAAGCGAAAATTTTCCAGGATAATGCGCTTGTTGTGATCGGGCGAGGAACATGCGGCACGATCTTTGAGATTCCTGGAACAGAGTCTGCGTACAAAAAGGTAGCGACAAGGACTCGCTGTGGAATGATGCAAATCTTACCAACACTGCCTGCCGTGCAGTCATAGAGACTAAGAGTTATCTTCAGGAGATATTTCCAAATGTCTCAATCCCTCGTGTGCCCATAGCGACTGGATAGATCAGCGAGAATGATTTAGAAATCTGGTGGCGAGAGAACTTGTCACGATTCCCCGACGATACTCAGGCCGGATATCTTTTTCAAGTCCAGCGAATCTTTCCGCTTCCTAAGCCCTCCCGCGAAGCTCTCATTGGGCTCTATTTTCCGAAGGAAATACACCTTTCTGCATACGAAGACCCGGATAACAAGGCATGTCTTATCCGACCATACCTCGGACAGCGAAGAGGAAAGTGGGAATTTTCTAGTCCAGCGCTCAGCCTTCAGAACGTTGCTCTCTATCTCGATCAGATAGAGGAACTCCAGCTCGAAGCTATCCAATTCTCTAAGGAGATGGCCATTGGACTGGCCATTGTACACTGGAAGGCTTGCTTGGACGGCATGGACATGGAATTCGTACTCGGTAGTGCAACGACAAATGGAGAGCTTCCGACCGTAATCGAGAACTTTAGGGCAGTAAAGCCCTTTGATATACTTGCTGGTGAGTTTAAGAGGCTGCAGGTGCATCTATGGATGCTTAATTTTGATAAGGCTAACCAGCTTAACCTAAAGAAGAGCTGGAAGTCTTGCTGCGATAAAATGGTTACTGCTGTGACGGCGAATGACCCCTATTTCCCCAACCCAGCATCGACAGGAACCCTCGAACACAAGTTATGGGATACATTCGAGCGCGCCTATCTTCTTACTGCGTCTATTCTTATGCTTACACAGAAGTGGTTGCCAAAGAAATCGACTAAATAGCCGGATCTATTTTTGAAGGCATGGAAGGAGAGAGCTAAAGAACTGGCAATGGACACAGAGGGTGATTTTGTGCAGTTCGATTCAATACGGGGTTCTATCAGTGACTCTTGTTTTTGTTATGCTGCAGCCCACTTCAAACGGTTCCTTATTCTTTTCCTGGCGCTATTTGAGTGGCGTTGTATGGATGTGACTTGAAGCATCGAATCGCTCTACCAACTTCTAAGCAACAAAGAGCAAGATTTTATTCATGTGTAGTATTTGATTAATACGTTTGTTTACAAAGTTTGATGACAGGCTAGTCACCAAAGATGGCGCCCGCATTAGCCACTGTGCTGGTCTAGCCACTGGCGGCAATTTCCTGGTGGCACAGGGTGTAGAACACAGTACGAAGATCGAAAAATATTCCGAGTGGAAGTGAAAGGCACCTGACAGAAGATTTCGAAAATGAACAACAACGGGACCGAATAGAGCCTGTAAGCGTTGATCTCTACAACATAACAAGCTTGAAATGGAAGAGTCGTTCTACCGCTATCCAGATGAGGATACAGGTTCCATCGACAGCAATTACACTACTCCACCGACGGACCTACCTTCTCCACCCATTCTGCGAGTTGCCAGAAACAGCGCCTGTGGGCTCTCAAGCTGGGAGCCCCACACCCCTTGTTCTGTACCTAGCTCATTTAGGAAGGAGTGCCTAGCCTGTTAGAATGCATAAAGTGCAACTACTCCGTAATGCGTACAAGATACATGCATTTTAAGATTGAAACAAAGCGCCGAAGTGGTCGGGCAGTGAAGTCGACATTTCAGCAACGGCCGTGGCGGCAAGTTCAACATTGGATTGCCCCTGGTAGTTGTGCACATATTTGCATATATTTAACCTCAAAAAGGGATTACCCGTGCACCTCATTAGACAGTACTACTATTGATAGTGCCTCCATATAGCCATCATATGTCAGACTAGGATTGACGGAAGGAAAAGCAGAGAGCCGAGTACTGGAGTTCACCGCTCACATAGTCTAAACTCAATTTAGCCCTGGCCAACGTCAAACGAGACAGGCAGATATGGATTGACCGCTATGTACGTAGTAAATGGAGTAGAAACACATAGACTAACTATGTGACCAACGGTTCCAATGTCACCCGGGCAGTGATCTTATGTGTTATCACTCCTGTTTGTTTCCCCTTGCATGTTGTACATCTGTTGTACAGGGAGTCCAAATCACAGGACCCCTGTTACCTAAACTCTTCTTTCTCAGACCTGTATCATCCAACATTTACCCTATACAAACATCCATTTCATGGTCCCACATAACCACAACGTTTTGATCATTTGTGTAGACTTTATATCTTCTACTCCATTCCAATTGTTATTCCATGCGACAATCTCAAAAGAGAAAGGCCACAAACTGCTTGATGAGCGGGAGAACTCTCGGTTCGCTACTTGAAGCTTTAGCATTCACAATCAATATCTATTCTGATAGTAACAGCCCTACCAGAACGCCCAGTCGAATTTTCAAGGCAATGTTAAGCCAACCGGAACTATCTTTTTGAACTGAAGGGTATTAAGAAAAGCAGCCAACTTCTTCTTGTCCTGGCCTCGACCTTGACTCTAAATACAACAGAAAGCGTGTTGCCACAATGACAGTTGGAACTTTTGGCGTCAATTTCATACATCCTAGTTCCCCGAGATGCGTTTAGACCGAGCTTAGTTCGTTTAACGTCTCACTACGCCAAAGAGGCTAGATTCTGTTCGTTGCTTTTGTTGTTTTTTTGGTTTCCCCGCTTGATGTTTGAAAATGCACTTACGTCAAGGCAGGCTTGCTACCGAAGGCGGGTAGAATCACTCTTCATGTTGATATCGATCTTCCTTCCTCTTCCTCTCAGTCGTCAACAGCAAAATTTGATCCCTGTTTGCTTTAATACTTAGCTGTCTCTGCAACGTCGGTGGAATTTTGCTTTTGCTTTCCCATTCCCATTCCTCGTCTTTGTCTTTCCCAGCTTGATATTGAGCTGATTTCGGCCGATCTAACTTGCTACCGTTCTCAAGTCGCAAAATGGTCAAGTGACATATGCAAGGATATTAAACTCACTCAACAATTTCCATTGCACGACACTAACTGTAAGGCAGTGGTGAAGCTCTCTTCAAATTGCCTCGAGGCTCGATAAAAACCCGGAAGTTTCCATTTGTTTTCATTCAAGTCGTGTTCGTGTACGGATATAAAATTTCGTCCCCAGTTTCACTCTCGTTTCATATAAATGCGGACGCCTTTCTTCCCATGGAGACTTCAACAAGCTTAACCTTACTATCCGCCCTTGTAGGGCATCCGCAGTTCAACCTTGATCCTCGAGTGGAAGAAATCTTCCAGTTCGGGACCGGAGCCGAGCTTTTTGTGGCTCAGTACCGATCCATATTTCATAGTGTCAGGTTGAGGAGATGGCCTTGGTTTCCAAAATAGCCTAGTTGTGATGATGATACTCCAGCACCACTTCTCAACCCTACTAGCATTGAGGGTGGCTGCCGCGATCCGATTTTTGCCATTGATCACACACACGATTCTCTTGTGGTAGTGTGACTCTTGCCTTTCAGCTACACCAGATGGCATATAAATTATCCTGGTTCTTTCGGCTAGCTTGGGATGTTGTGGCAATGTCTCGAGACCTAACAACCCCACAATGCCAGTTCTTTCTTCTGCCAATCATTTTTGCTGTTCTATCACAAAATTAAACTTGGGCGATGGGAGCCCCACTGTTAGCTAGTGGAACAACTTTGGTGTTGATTCTGGCACTGGTAAAGACGGCAACACTACTTCGCTTACTCCGAGTTATCCACCGTTAATGGAAAAAACTTCCGTTCAGGGTTAGACAATGATACTGTAAACAGAGGAAAAATAGAATTGAGGTACTGGCAGGGACAAAATATCGGAGATTCCGTGTGTGATTGGTATCAATTTGACATTCATGGAGCAGTCGGGTTGAAGTGTAGAATCACTTTCAACCTGTGAGAAGTTGCGCGATGATTATGGTGCGGAGTACTGGCCCGGGGGTGATGTTTATCTACTCCGTACTTTAGCGCCCATTAATTCTACAATCGACGGTTCTGCAACCCCTGGAAAAGACCCCGCTACTACAAGTTCATGCTCATCCACTCGAGTTTGTGCATTGCAAGAATTAGGTATACCATCGTTTAAGTATCCATGCAAATTAGGCTGTAAATGCACAATGAAACATGATGAAACAGATCTAGACCAGTTGCCAGGTGTCCCGTCCATGAGAAAGTTCGCTAGGAAGGCTGCCAAAGCGTTGCTTGTTTTCAGGGCCTGTATACGATGACATATTCCAACCAGTTCAAGATTCGTTATCGCTACCTGAAGATTCCGACATCGACAGGCATCGAAGAGGGCCAAGTTAAATCCAGCAGGTTCGATTTTAAGGGGCGGCACGTGTCCGACTATGTAAGACGTGCCCGGCCTGGCCAAGGGCAGCGCTGATCGAAAAACCAGTCCAGTGGCCATAAATGCACCAAAGAGAACTTCCTTGTATTGTAAACGTGCCATGTTATCTTTAGTACGCGGCTGAAACAAGCTACTCCGCGCTCATCTCATTGGATCGATATACTCGAAAATCCATCAAAGCTTGTCAGTTTAATGGGTTGCCAGTGTGGTCTGATTTGAAAGCTATCAAGTGTTGTTACTTTTGTCCTGTCGTCTATCTCTATAGCATCGGCTTCTGGTCTATTCATCTGTTCAAATCTACATTCCACTAGAAAGATCATTTAGAAGATGAGCACTGGTGTGAATTCTACTGAGACATTTACGTAGGGAAAAACGCGAGACTCTATAACGAAAACAAGTAGACATTAACTTGGAAGCCAGTGATAAAAGGGTAAAAGAATAGTGCTTGGCCAAGACTACGGAGTGCACACCAGAGAGTCATTTGACGTGGAAGATGTTCTATTGTCTCTCAGCTTCAAACTCTCAAACACAGATGACCTCTTATCCGCCTCTCAGAGGATGAAGTCAACTGATCGTCTAACCATATGTTGCTGAACCATAGCGACCAGGATCACCAGAGGGTCATCGGAATATAAATCGAAGCAGATGGCGAAGGACTATATTTCCATCATCATTCTTGGCAAGGTTATTGCGGAAAAACTTATTCGTTTGCTTGGTATATTCTCGTAGCTTTTCAAGGCTCGAAAAAATTTGCACTCGACCGTCTGCGCTTCCATTTCTAGCCCAGTCGATCAAATCAATAATGTTGACGAACACACCTCGGATAGTCTAGGACCCCCATATTAGCCACTGTCACCGACAAGTAATTTGAAATTTCCATATAAACTCAAAGAACTCTTGTATCGACATGTAAAGTCCCGGGCTGGAGACAAGCACCTACCTTGACGCCTTGCCTACAGGTTGCAGGCAAAGGATCGATGCCAATAGCGCGACAAAGAGAATGCCAGGCAGTGAGGTCATCCTCTACTCCAAACCACGTCTTCACCTCCGCTTCTAGAGCAGATTGGTATTCTTCCCAGGCCGTTCTATCCTCCGCATCCCCCCTTTCCCAGCCACAGAAGTTCTTAAGCTGGGCATATGATTCGGAAGGGGGTAGTTTTGGATTGTATCCAAAGCCCACGAAGGATCGAAAGAACTGATCTAGTGGCGTGCTAGGCGGCGTGAAATGTGCTTTTGAATACTGGATATGCTGATCAAGGGCATTTCTGCTGCCAAAAGTTCGGTTGCAAAGGTCGCAGTGGAATGATACAGCATGGGCCGCTGAATTTTGCACATGTTGATCCAAGGCACTTTGACTACCAAAGCATCTGCCACAAGGCACACAGTCGTATGTAGTGGCATGTGTAGGCAAGTCTCGGGTATGCTGATTAAGGGCGTTTTGACTGGCAAAAGTCTGGTTGCAGAGTTCGAGTCCAAATCGCAATGTGTGTACCGGAGCATCTCGCACATGTTGTTGGAAAGCTTGCCGGTCATCAAAAAAACGATCACACAAGTCGCAGCGCTCCATGGCTGGTCGAATACTGAATAAGTCCAGTGGGAGGCTTGAACGGATTATGAGCAACGCGGATGGCATTCAGTTTTGTATGCAACCATGAGCTGGCAGACCCCGCATGCTACGCTATCGGCATTGCTACCTGAGTCTATCTGCCCATTCTCCCCCAAAAGCTTCTGATAGCTTCCCTCTATGTGGTGTATTAGGACCCATCATTATCGTACCCCGTTCGCTTTTCAGTAATGCCTATTGACGCCGGAGTGTGTAGAAAGCGTGCACGCCTATTCGAAGTATGTCGAGGCATGCTTATCTATGGGCATGCACCATTGGGACCGGCTTCCTTACACCAAACCGCCCGTATGACCTTTGTGCGCAGGGATCCCCGCATGCATGTTCATGGGGCCATAGGTGCCTACTCCGCTGTTGGAGGCGCACAGCCAATTGAGTCTGATAGGAGTTTATGCTAGAATTCCTACACCTGCGAAGGGACAGAGCGGCCAAAGGCCAATTGCCTGATTTTTCAGGGGTTTCGCCTGAATCTGCCTGAAATATGTTCTGTTGCTAAGACTGGCAGAAATCAAAATACCTGAATTACGATGACAGGAGGCTTAATAAGCAAAGTATCTTTGGACGATTAAATAATTGAAGCCATTCCCACTCAGCCTATTTTTAGGCGTTAAAGCTATTGCAACCGCAAAACCCATCGAATTAAAGTTCCTCCCGCCAGATTAATCGTATAATTCCTCTTTTTTTTTCAACAAGGTGGGAAGAGCTTTAATTCGATGGGTTGTGCGGTCGGTGTCGGTTTTAACCGCCGGGGACTCGAAGAAACTTGTGAATTATAGGGTGGGAATAGCTTCAATTTACAATATACGGTATAGAGCGGTGCCGAAAGCGGTCTATAACTCAGGCATGTAAAAGGCATTATAACTACCCTACAAAATCAGGCATTTGACCTTTGGCCGCTCTGCCCCTTCGCACTACACCTATGGAAAATCTGCACATTGTTTGGCCCTTGAAAATCCTACAAACAAGAGAGACATATCGAGTCCCGAGCTGCTTCGCAAAATTCCGCCTCTTGCATTTTGTTCTCTCTTGAATCGAAGGGCAAACTAAACACTGGGTCAGATGCCCCAACAATGCGAAGTATCGAGCAGCAAAATTGCCGACAGCAACTCTCTACGTCCTGAAACAGCATCAAGGTGGTCAGTTTAACGTTAGCTGCGACCGTAACATGCCTAGCGGCTTCATGAGCGCGGTTACAATGATGGAGGATGGTGGATTTGTCGAATTTTGATCAATCAAATTTCTAAACAGTAACCATCTACCGAACAATAGGAAATTCCAAGATAACTCTCAAGATCTCTCCCGATCATAATTCTTTCCATTTGAAGAGGCTACTGCAGGCAAAGGGGGCCCCCAAACCCATCTGTAAGTTCTCAGTTCTCGAGATTTGGGCCATCGTTGCTGGGACTTGCGATGAACATGATACTGGTCGTCCACAAGGGACGGCGTATGATGTAAAATGGAATTGAAACGGCGAGTCTCGGTTTTTTTTGGGATTCTCTCATTCTCTTCAAATCTAACGGTTTTTATTTTGCTACCGCGTCCGTTCTCATGCGACTGACACTCGGTAGGACGAGTACAAAAGCCGAGTGCTGGTGGTGCAGCGGGACGGTGGACACGATCAAACAGTTCATCTGGTCTTTTTGCGTAGATTTCCGCGACTGGGGATACGTGATGGTGTATCTTATCGGAGTTGATTTCGGAGTTGATTCCTGGGACATCATACAGGCCAGTCTGGTAGCGTTGCTTTCCGTCTTCATTCGAGTCAGGAGACTGAGATCTTGGCTGAGGATGAGCACATTGGCTTTCAGATCGATGATGACAGCAAGTTTTGTGGTGTCGGATACGGGGGTCGGATTTGATATTGTTCCTGTGATTCGTTCAGTGGTGAAGAAATACCGATGCAAAGTACAGTTTGAGTCTTACATTTTGAGACAGGGTTCCTGGCTTCGAAAATGAAAACCAAAGTTACAATGAATCCTCTCTTTCGTACTCGAAGCTTGACGGGGGTTATATGGCAAAGATCCAAAGGCATCATTGCCATTCTCGCTTAGATGGAGGTGATGGTGATCCCTTGAGTAGGGCGTGACTGGCTGGACGTGACACGGGGAATGAAGGTCATAGAAGTCACCCCGCTGTCGCATTGTTGTTCGATGATATTTTGAAGGGAGGACATCTCTTTTTTCTTTGCTCTGTTGGCCTATATGGTGATGATTCATGATGTGTGAGTAAAGAGACTTGGGAATATGCCCAAGACAGAGAGTTATATTCGGCCACGAAGGCGTGATCCCGATTTAGGTGTCCTTGCTGACATCTACTGTCACTGGCTTTCCTCACACAAGCCTTGAGTGACAAGGATGTGCAAACAGCCTTGGATCCCGTAACACATTTCTAGTCGTGACTAAGTGGGCACCCGCTCCATCGTATGATTCTTGAACCGTTTTGAATTCCCCGCGAGTTACCCTATCTGAGCTGACCTTCCTAGAATGATTTTTCCTCTTTCCATTCCGACTTGATGTGCAGCCTCCTTCAAAATGCACGTTCTTGAATGTTCCGAAGACTTTGGAGGTCCCGCAGACGACTTCAAATTCCAAAAGACAATCATAGTGTACGAATTGTCAGGCTCAATCTACAGAGCATACTCCCGAAAACGCTATGCATCAAACGAGGAGATTCATTTTGGTGACATGTTTAGCACCAACAAGATTCAAGGGGCTCTCGTTTTCCCAGAGTTCTCGGACGAATTTACCAAGGCAGAGAGGCCATCGGATTCCTCGGCCTGGTATCTGAAAAAGCCAAGCCTTTCACCCTATAGTCCCCAGTACCCCGCCCTGATCAGAGAAACTTGGATTGAAGAAGTGAAAATTTGCGAACTTTTGAAGAAAAACCCGCACCCGAATATCGCTCAATATCATGGCTGTGCCGTCGTAAACGATGACTCAATCAGAGGAATCTACTTCACGAAGTACGATGAAACACTTATGACCAGAGTGAACTCAGCCAGACGCAATAAGATCGACTTTGCATACGAGAGGCACAAGGCTGACCGAGACGAGGTTGATCGTTGGGTGGAGGGGATTGCACGGGGCCTGAAACACCTCCATGGGCTGGGTATAGTCCACAATGACATCAACCCGTGCAACATCATGTTTCAAGGTGACACCCCAGTCATCATCGATTTTGACTCCGCCCGGCCTCATGGTCATCATTTGAGCCTGGTTAAACGGACACATGGGTGGCATGATGAGAGGACTAAGGTTGCTTTGCCAATGAATGATGTTGCGGCACTACTGGAAATACATTTGTGGCTTTTGGGGGAGGTTGACCTGTTTCAATTTTGAGGTCTAAAGTTGGAATTTGTTTGCCAAAGATAGTTTGATAACTTTGGAAGATGCCATTGTCTACTTTTGGACTTTGGAGGAATCGAAGCTCGATAATTGGCTGGTACTCTCGATTGACCGATACGGGGCTTGCATGTCCGTGTTTGCTACATGCGTGGTGTCTCGGAGAGCCACATCTGCAACTGAATTCTACAACCAAAATTGTTGATACTGATATGACTGAGAGCTAGGGAAAGAGAGGAAGAAAATGTCATCATTCAATTATGGAGTGCAAGGTGGTTACGCTCTGAAATCAAGCCAAACAAGCACATAGGCATGAGAAATGAGATCATTAAACCAAGCGAAACAAAGCATTTTCACGCCGGCTCACGCCATACAGCCCAGAAGGGCGGACCCTCGCCGATTGAACACAGCGCACTTCGATATCATCGATCAACTAGATAGAACAGGTTTCAAGAGCACAAATCCTCGAGCGACATGTCCCGGAAAACTTCAAACATAGACCGTAGGCTCGAAAGCATGTAGTTGGAGTCTAGGACAAGGAAAGCCTCTTGCGTTTCCAACGAATGGACTCTCCATTGGGGAACATCCGGTCTCAATCCAGGGGCCAAGATTGATCCACCTAGTGGTCATTGAAGCCAGATTATCTTTGCCGTGATCACGCAGCTCCAGCTGATGTTCGGTGTTGCATTTCTCGCATGTCATCCGGGACAGTGATAGCGTCTGTCTCATACAATGAGCTTGGACAAAAGCCTTTATCAACAGTAGTCAATCAGGGGTCACTGTGTAGGCACAAATTTGATAAACTTGAGCAAGAACTGATTGATTTTGGTCTGATACTAGCTAGCCGGCTCGCAAGCGCATCACTGACAGTATTTCCTGGGTTGGTAAGCATAATACGGGCGATCCAGAGTCTGGGCATATCTGTGATTCGAGAGAATGTAGGGCAGTCGATGTAGTGTGGACAATTACTCCGGTGAAAGATAGCATAGATGGGTGAATACCGTATCGAGTACCATCGCAGTAGTCTATCGTTGCAACTTGAAGATGAATGAAGCAAAATTCAGGTTTGGAGTAGAACTTGAGGTATTTGCCATATATAGACAGTCATAACTCTTGAATGAACTGTCCGTCTGGCCCTCCCATATAGAGGAAGCGGGGCGGACAAATTTGGTACGCCATTGGCCATGATGATCCAAATTTCTCTGACCTGCAGTCAAATTTATAGAGGACATGACAGGCATAACATGTGAAGTGCTCCAAAATATCCCGTTCGAGTCAGCTTAGAAACGATAATCGATTCAGATTCTCAAGTTTTTCGCGTTTCCTGCGGCTGTCGAACGTTGCAAAACGTCGATGGCTGTAAAACAAAGACTGTAGAAGTAGACATCTTCAGATGGGAGAGTGTCCGCTATTGATAACAGTCACTCTGCAACAAGGCCACTTAACGTATTCGGTCTCGGGACCGTGATTATGAATGCAAATTTATTAAAGGCTTTTGGAGGTTTTGGAAATACCATCTGGGCTAAGACCGATGATAACAAAATGGGACCATGATGACTTAAACGTGAAAGAGAGCCGAGAGAGGGATAAGAGAATGATCGGAGCAAGAGAAGATTATCAAGTAAATGGCAGGGGACGATGTAGAATTATAGGAGGTGCAAGTTTCAAGCCAGGAACTTCAGACAGCTACCCATTGAACAACTACAATGCCTCCCAAGACAAGTTTGTCAGGTATAATATGTGATATTTCAACAATGTATGGCGGAGCTACTTTAGTCTCGGGTTTCTGGCCTTGATCCAATGAAGATTGTTCATTCAACGTTCAGAATGTTACCAGATGATGTAGAAAGCTGCTTACTGTATGTCATCGAAGGTGTAAAACGCTGTACCCATTCTTCGCGGATGGTCAGGAATGCATCGCAGACTGCTTTGACAGCGTCTTCGCGAGAGTCTCCACAACTCTCGATATAAACTGTGCCCATCTGTCAGTAGCGAATTCGCTTAAAAGAGACCGAGAAAACTTACATTTGACCTTGGGCTCTGTCCCCGAACCTCGGAATGTGAAGCGAACTCCACCATCCAACCAGACCGTAATCATTTGGCTTGTTGGATCTTCAGGTAGGTCCGGCTTGTTTTCAGGGGTGCTGGAATCATAGCCCTCGGTCAAATCCCTCCATCGCAAAATCCTGAAGGGGCCAAATTGCATATTCGTAAGGCCTGAGCTCCTTCGAATGCCCTGGAACAATTTTGCGGTGAGCCGTGGATTGGGCGAGCGGAAGTAGTTGTTCAAAGTCTCATGATGGCCGAATTCGCCGAACAGTTGCTGCAGCTTAGCGTACGCAGTCAATCCTTGAGCTCTCCATTTCGCCTCCGCTGCAAGGAAAACTGTAGCTGCTGTGATGCCATCTTTGTCATAACACACAGATGGGAACATGTATCCTAGTGCCTCCTCGTATGCAAAAGAAACTGTCTTTCCCTCTTTCTCTAAGTCCCGGGCAATATTAGCCATCCATTTGAACCCTGTCAGTGTCTCCTTGAAGAAAATTCCCTTTGCAGCTGCCATCTTTCCAAGCATCCCGCTTGACACTGTTGTAGTCAACACCGCAACATGAGACCAATCTTTGCTGGCATCGAACGAATCCAAGATATGGGATGCCAGTAGGACACCAACGTGGTTTCCAGTCAAAGTTTGCCATTTTCCACTAGAAAACACATCAGTTGAGGTATATCCACGGCAGCCCGAAAATAGGGCTTACTCCACTTTCTCCGCCACGGCAAAGCGGTCGGCATCTGGGTCATTTGCGATGATCAAGGTCTTTCCTTCCTGGTCGGCAGTCTCGATAGCAAGATCCAAAGCTCCAGCCTCTTCCGGGTTGGGGAACTTCACAGTGGGGAAGTCAGGATCAGGCTTTTCCTGGGCCGCAACGGAAGAAAATGTGTTGATTCCAAGTGAGCGGCATAGAGTTGGAAGAACCAAACCTCCCACGCCGTGCAGAGGTGTATAAGCGAACGGTCTTGGGGGTTGCCAATCGGTCACCGTGGATTTCTATAGCCAGCTCGTTAGATTGAACTCCTCGAAATAGCCCACAACGTACCGTGAACTTTGTGACTTGGCTGCTGTAGTGAGGCAGCAATGTCTGGTATGAGTCTGCACGCAGGAATTCGCCTGGCTGCAATTCCGCCCACGCGGTTGGCCATGGCTCAAGGTTCTCTTGAATCGACTGTGCTATTTCCCCGTCCTCAGGTCGGTTGATCTGGGCGCCATTGCTCGAGTAGCTACAAGCCAGGTTTCGTCAGCATGATCCATAATATGGATCCGGGATTCCTACACTTTGTAGCCTATGGAAGAGTTAGCAACCAATCACTTAAAAAAAACCTTAAATGGGTAACACACCGTTGTCCTGGGGTGGATTCTTCAAATAGATTAGCCAATACGTCTACCAAAGTAGTTCCAGGGTAGACTTACGTGGCTCGCCGTCACCATAATACCTGCAGCAGCACCAAAATGGTTCACACCAAACGCTACCATCGGTGTTGGCCCTTCCTCGTCAAAGAAATAAACAGGAATACGTTGCGCGATGAAAGCGTTAGCAGCGAGTGCAGCGAATTTCGCAGAATTGTGACGCGCATCGTGTCCAATGACCACACCATTCGGAGCAATCTCGGGACGCTTGTCTCGAATGAACTTGGCCAGCCCTTGTGAAGCTTGTATGACTATCAAAGAGTTCATGCAGGAGAACCCCGCGGCCATGCGGCCTCGTAGACCAGCTGTTCCGAACTCAATACCTAAACGTATACACAGGTTAGGCACGCACCACGCAAGGCTTGAAAAAGACATACGATTCTGAAGGCGCTTTTCCAGCTCCTCGGTGGCATTAGAGTCCCGCAGTTGCTCTATTTCCACGCGAGTTGTAGGATCCTGTATATTCCAGTCAGCGGGATCATGCCACAACGTGAAACGTAGAAAATATTGACCTGGTCCCACTGTAGCCATTGCTCAGTCAAAGAGGAAACTGATTGCTATTGAAGAGTTAGAATGATTTAATCAAAGCAATTTCTTAGTTTCATGCGGAGTAGTTAAAACTCACTGCCATATCAAAAATATACAAAGTGCCTAGAGTGCCTGGAGAAATGTTGATAATGTGAAAAGGTGGACATTCACACGGGCTGATCAGAGGTCCCCGCTGTTATCCACCTCCGCCCCGTAGCCCTTGCAAGGTTTCTGCCTTTCTCTATAACTCTCACTTCTGTTCCTGTTCCTTTCGTTTATTTGCATTTTGCATTGTCCGTTTGTCAATTTACCTAGTTCGACTCTCAGAAATGTCCTTGTAAACCCGTTGTTATCGGACCCTACACACATCCACCATTTCACCGCACCTCATATCATGGCGAAGACCGCATCCCGGCCGTCCCGGAAGGACACCCTCTTGACTCGACAATATATTGAAGGCCTCATTGCGGAGGGAAAGCATGTCATAATTTTTGAGGGCCGCGTCCTAAGGGTAGATCCGTTCATCAGATACCACCCCGGAGGAGAGAAGCCAATAAAGCACATGGTGGGCAGGGACGCGACAGATGAGATCAACGCGTATGTTCTGGAACGACAAACACCACAACCTCTGATCAGTCTAATTGAATACTGTCTCATACAGGCTACACTCGGAAGAAGCCCGTCAGCTTATGCGCTCGTACCAGATTGGACGAATTGAAGGAATTTGGATCAACTTCCTACCCCCAATCCAGGGCGGCAGGTTCCGCGCTTATAACGAAGATGCCCGCTCTAGTGATGAGGATTCAACAACCCCCGAAATATGCAGTGGCTCCAGTCAAGATGGTTCGATTCCTCCTTCGCCGATATTCGATGCGGTCGACTCGAAGTCCACAGTTCGTCAACGGAAACCGACCGGAACCGCTTTGACCGACCAAACCCAGGCCAAGCCTGCCTTCTTGGATGCAAGAACACGGGAAGAAATTGTCTTCGACACTGCCAAATACCCATCCTTGGATACCGCGAGTCAGGAAGAGATTAAACGAAAATATCGTGAACTGAACGAGCGTATCAAGGCCGAGGGACTTTACGACTGCAACTACTCTTGTTACTTTGTTGAGTGCTGTCGGTACACACTTTTTGCGGGTCTCTCCTACACGTTCCTCCGTATGGGATGGTGGGCGACCTCGGCAATCTTCCTCGGCTGCTTCTGGCATCAGCTTGTGTTCACCGCCCATGATGCTGGTCATATGGCCATAACACACAATTTCCATGTGGATACCCTCATTGGAATGTTTATAGCAGACTATCTCGGAGGATTGAGTCTCGGGTGGTGGAAACGAAGCCACAACGTTCACCACATCGTGACCAATGAGCCAGAGCATGACCCGGATATCGAGCATATCCCATTCTTCGCCATCTCCCATCGCTTCCTTACGAGCCTGAGGAGTACCTATTACGATCGAATCATGGCCTTCGACGCCCTGGCTCAATTTCTACTCAAATTTCAGAATTACTCTTACTACCCCATTATGATGCTCGCTCGATTCAATCTCTACGTTTTGAGTTGGGAGTATCTGCTAAAGGGCCAAGCTCCCAGAAGGGGCATCGCCTGGTGGCATGTCTGGTTTGAGCTTGTCGGACAGGTTTTCTTTTGGACCTGGTTTGGCTACGGTGTCATGTACAAGACACTTCCAGATGCAAGCAGCCGTATCATCTTCCTTCTCGTCTCACACGTTGTCTCCTCCCCACTACATGTCCAAATCACCTTATCCCACTTCGCTATGTCGACCGCCAACCTAGGTGCTGGTGAGTCCTTCGCGCAGAAGATGCTCCGTACCACTATGGACGTCGATTGCCCGACATGGCTGGATTTCTTCCACGGTGGCTTGCAATTCCAGGCTATTCATCATCTCTACCCGCGTATCCCACGTCACAACCTGCGTCGTACGCAGAAGTTCGTTATAGAGTTCTGCCGCGATACTGGTATCCCTTATGCCATTTTCACTTTCTATGATGGCAACAAAGAGGTAATCAGCCGGCTTGGCGATGTCGCGAAACAGGTCCGCCTCATGGAGGAGTGCCGGAAGTCCATCGCCGAGGGTGGAGTCTTCTCAGATCATCACCACTGATATGAAGTGTCAGTTCCTTGCTGGCCAAGTACGAGTCTCCTGTGTAAACATGTTATCACGACTGCCTATACCGCTTTCTACAGGTCTTGAGGTATATTAATGAATCACCTGAATGCGTTCTGTTTCAATGCGTCGCGGCTCCTGTTTTACATGCCCAACAAATCTTATGTATATTACATCCATGGTCATTATGAATCAGAAATCAACAATGGCCAAAGCTTTTATGCCGCATTACATCCATGTATACTAACTCGACTCCTTCGTATGCTTAGCCAGGAAACCCACCGCCACGCGCCATTTTCTTCGCGTGCTGCTGTCGACGGTTGTGATTTGCCCGACTACCCTTATTTTCTTCCTTCCTCTGTCGCGACACCGCACTATCCTTATCTGGCTGCCCCTGGCCACCAGACGGAGGACCACCACCACGGCCTCCACGCCCACGTCCGCCGCCACCCCGCCCTCGTCCACCGCGTCCACCGCCTCCTCTACCACGCGAGCCAGCATGACCAGAGGTCTCCCCTTCGTCAGAACCATTCTCCCCATCCTCACGAGGCTGCGGCTTCCTGTAAGACGTAGCACGCAACTCGGGCTGGTTAAGTGGCCCAGCACTAGCCGACCCGCCAGCATCCAAAGCCAGCCGGTCTTCGAGTTTAGCGAGACGCTTGGGATCACGCGTTAGCATGACAGCCCAGCCCTCAATAGCCTCATCGGTCATTTCAGTCTCGCGCTTCAGCGACGCGCGGGGTTGAGAGCGGCGGGTCGCTGAGTCGCGGGCGAAAAGTCCTGGATTGGACTTGTATGTCCGGAAGAGGATTGTTTCGATATCTGCTGTGCGGCGGTTGCGCTCGGCTGGGTCGGCTTCGCCGTCGGCGCCACCTGTGGCTCCATCGATGGCACCGCCTACGTCAGCCGTGTCGTAGGTATCGTCGCGCTCGTCATCATCTGAGTCAAATGTCGCCAGGGCGGAGAGAATTGCTGCTTTGTTTGCGGCGTGTTTGCTGTGGTCTGCGAGGATTGTGTCGGCTGTTTGGTCTGCGTCGGCACGGCCGAAGTGGAGCTTGCCTTGCGCTTCGCCGGAACGGCTTAGTTCGGCGATGTCCACGTCTTTGTCGAAAATATTCTTACGGGTCGGGAGTGGTACGAATTTAGGGAATGGCATGGCGGGGGGCGTTGGCTGGGGTGCGAGGTGGCTATGGTGAGGCTCTGCTGGGGGAGGCAGTTGCACGGATCGATCTAAAGCCTGGAGCTCTGAAGGAAGTGAGTCGTCGAGAAGGTGGGTGACGACAGTCTCGGGGTTGTTGTTATAGAAGTCCAGTAGCCGTACAACAAAAGCTGAGCCAAGATCGGGGAAGAGGTCTTGCACTTGAGTGACAAGTGACATCCTGTGTGCGTGAAGTTCTCCTGAAACGATCGGATCCGAGGATACCTGTTTTCCTTTGTCCACTTTCTTACGTCTTTGATACCGATGGTGTAGCGACTTCGATTCAACCTGATAGGTGCGCAAGCTGGCAAGGAGGTCCTGGCCCCGTTTCTGGGGGTGAGTGCTCAGATACTTCTCCAGCCGAATAAGCAAGTCCGAGCTGCAGATGATATCTGAGAGTAGAGTCGCTTCCTTCTTCATTTTCGGTGCTCCTACTCGAGCAGCGGCTTTGAGGCTAAACAGCTGATCCAAAAACGAAGACAGATTCACGGGATCCTTCAATAAAGAGACAAGCCCGACGTAAATGTTGGCAACAAGAATCTTGCGAAACTCTTCCCGGGTACCTTTTGACTTGTATGCTTCCGAAATTGTATCCAGGAAATCAGAGCCGGCCATGAGCTCCTGGCCGAACGCTGGCAACACTGAAGCAAGGATTGTCAGACGGCGGATATCAGTCATGACTTCAGGACACGAGGATGAGTTGGCTGAAGAAAGGTTCTTAATCACGGCAGCTTTTGCTCTCTCGATACTGCTAGTGATCTTGCCCTGGTGAAGATCCCAGGCACTTGATAATGACGCCTTCAACGCCGCGCTGGAAGGGTAACAGCAACATATGTTGCCGAGAAGTCTCCAGTCCAAAATTCCGTCTGGTGGGTTGGAGAGATCGAGTATGTATCTTCTTATCGTCAGAAAGCAGAACTTCCGAAGCTGTCGAGCTTTAGGTCCACTTTGTAGACTGGAATCCCCCGCAGCAGTGTGTTGATAGTAAGATGCCAGGAATGGCGGTATTGATGTATCTTCAGCAGCTGCAACCTGAAACTTTTGATCCGATGCATTCAGGCGGATCCCCAACAGGGCCATCCATGCATCTAGACAAGCTTCCCAATCATTTGATGGTATTGTCTTCCGCACTGCGGGGGAGGGCACTAGAGCCAGTGGCGGGAACTCCGCCATTGGGGCGGACTGAAGTGGTTATAACTGGGGATATATGAAGAATAAGAAAGGAGAGAAAAGCAAGAGCGAAATTAAAAAAAAGCCCAACCACCTGTCAACTCATGATTATCATCTCGAATGCCATCGCTTGGCAGTCTCATGTCCTCTTTCAGTGATGATATAAGCAACAAATCAAAGGGGACCTAAAGGGGTTTAGCGTGCGATAACCGAAGCGCCAAGACTTTCGCACTGAACTTTTTGGACATGGAATTCTCGATCCACAGCACTTCAACAGCCATCATCACTTTACCGAGCCTAGTAGTTCAGGTCTTGACGGCAATCGCCTTTTAAATTGTGCGCGCTCCCTTTTTTCCTGCTCTTGAAATACCCGAATTGAATTACTAACCCGTTCCAGTCCATACATATTCAAGATGTCTTTCCAGAAGCCCGAGAAGGAGTTCGGCGAGGGCCCTGTACGTTGTCCCTGATCCAAATGGTCATTGTCGCACATCGCAATTGCACCTCGCTGTCGCTGTCGCTTTGTACAATATGTCAATAGACCTTACCTATGCAGACTCAGTACTAATTGCTTCACGTCCGCTCTGCAGAAGGTCCACAAGATCCGCATTACCCTCACCTCCCGCAAGGTTGCCTCCCTCGAGAAGGTCTGCCAGGAGCTGATTGACCGTGCTCGCTCCAAGTCCCTCCAGGTCAAGGGCCCCGTCCGTCTCCCCACCAAGACCCTCCAGATCTCCACCCGTAAGACCCCCAACGGTGAGGGTTCCAAGACCTGGGACAAGTTCGAGATGCGCATTCACAAGCGTCTCATCGAGTGAGTTTTCCCCCGCTCTATTAAGCTACAGCACTATTGCCGTCCCAACTAGCAGATGCAGTTGCTAAAACTATATCTCAGCCTCCTCGCCCCCACCGAGACTGTCAAGCAGATCATCATCAACATTGAGGCTGGTGTTGAGGTTGAGGTCACCATTGCCGCATAAACGCGCTAGGCTGGGCTTGCCTCAGGGAGGGATTACGGACTGGCTAATTTGGAGTGCACGGCGTGACTCTGAAGCTGGTTCTGGCTCGCATGCCTTGTTTCACGCTGCGGGGTATTCCGTTCGGACCTGAAAATCTAAAATAAAAATGGAAACATCTTGAAACGCAAATTCTTCTCCGCAGTGGTCTTCAGACTGCAGTACTTTCGTAATGTTGTTCATATTAACAGTGAAAATTCAGCACTTGCACTTGCTACATTCAAACCCTGAGTTTTGTTGAGCTCCTAAGCGCCATTCCCTATGTTCCGCACGCCCGGAACGTGTTGCTCGTTATGTCAAATGAAAACGATATGCACGTCACCTCAACCAATGAGACGCGTAGCCAATTAACAAACAAAGAGAAGAAGACGAAAACAATTAAATTCTCTCGGCTTCGGGAGTTAAAAGTCGAAACTGAGCCACTCTTGCTTGGGAGGCACAGCAGGAATGTTGCCATCCTTGAAGTAGCCATTTTGCAGGAAAAATTCATACGCCTCAGTGATTTCTGGTGTGTATTCCTCGGGCTTGCCGTGTGCGTCTTTCAAACTAGCTGGATCAGGTGGCCCGTTAGGGAAGTTGACTCGGACAAAGGTTTTGTTGTCTTGTGGGTGAAGGTAGCACGGGTGCTCGTTGATGTACTTGACGGGGCGGCCCTTCCACATCACTAGCTGTTTGGTGGATGGGTTGTGTCGAGTTTCACCCTCAAGTTGTGGAAGTGGATTGAGGTCTTGGGGATTATCGATTTTGATGTATGCACGCGGGCCGGCGTTGGTATTCTGTACCGGCACGCTTTGGACTGCAGGCTGGCCAAATGGAGACGGAGCAGGCTGATTCTGAGACACTTGGGTGAAGGGAGAAGCGGTAGGTGAAGCCCCGAATGGGGCTGCGCCTGTCGGGGCTGAAGGCTGGCCGAATGGCGAGGCGCCTACCGGGGCTGAGAGCTGACCAAACGGTGCGGCACCTACCAGGGCCGAGGGCTGGCCGAATGGGCTTGGATTGGCAGCTGGCTGGCTAAACGGCGACGGGCCAGGTAGTGCGGCGGTTTGACCGAAAGGTGAGGGAGTAGGTTGTCCAGCGGTCTGACCAAATTCACCACCGGCAGGCTGGTTCTGGGCTATTTGGGTAAAGGGAGAAGCGGCAGATGTAGCACCGAATGGGGCGGCACCTCCTAGAACTGACGGCTTGCCGAATGGGCTCGGGTTTACTCCCGGCTGAGAAAGAGCTGGCTGGCCGAAGGGTGTTTTGTTGAAAGCAGACTGCCCCCCCAGGGTGGAGGTTTGGCCGAAGGCGGAACCACCTAAGCCACCCAAGGTGGAAGTCTGTCCAAAGGCGGTAGACTGGCCCATGCCAGATGGCTGCCCTAGAGCTGAAGCCCTACCGAATCCAACTGACTGGCCAAGTCCTGAAGCCTGACCAAAGGTTGAGGATGGAGCGCCGAACGCTCCGGGTGCAGGACCGGTGTTTGGTGCATGGGCAGCATTTTGCTGGCCAAATGGAGAGAGTTGGCCAAATGACGCTGGAGCTTGGTTCAAACTAGTGTCGGTCTTGCCCTCGATAATATCCTGTCGATTGGGATGTTCGTTTCTACCATCAACGACATATTTGACGGCGCCATTCAGGTCATTCAGTGAGATGTCCATCTGTTGAACGCATTCTTGCCACAGGGCTGAGGCTTCTTGAATTGCTTGGTTCAGATTGCCGGACGTTGCTAATTCATAATGGCGCAGGCGCATCTCTTCCATGCTACGCTCGCGGTGAGCTCCACCGAAAAGCTGGCGCGCAACATCTTTGTGTGGTGCGTATGCGGAAAATATCCATTCCGGACGGCCCTGGCCAGCAGTCAAGTCTGACTTGATATCACTTGCCTTTAATGCTGCGCTGTCTTTTAGTCAGCTTGGAATCCACTCGAGCCGCTGGGAATGCGACTTACTCGGCTGGATGTTGAGGCTGGTTCTGACCTGTCGTAAACTTGCCGTTAGGCTTGGAAATGAGGATAGCTGGAAAGGGCGCGCCGTTCATAGAGTTGATCATAGCATTGTACGGGGATATATCTCTTGCGCCTCGAGATTTGAAGTAGGCTGGGGTAAAACCAGGGTGGGCAGGAGGGCAGGGGCATAGAAAGAGGCTGGGGAACGTAAAAATCGAACAATTGATATCAAAATACAATAGGCATTCAATGAATGGGCCCTCCAGATTGATCATTTACGAATCAAAACAATTCAATTGAACGTACCTCCAAACCCTCCGGATGAAGCACCGAATCGATTCCCCGATGAACCAGCAGTAGGTTTCCCAGGATGCTCAAACTTGCAGCGATCTGAAAATTTATTAGCACCTTGATTTCTCTACACTCGAGGTAATCATGCCTCCGAACTTGCAGCGACCCTGCTGAAAAAAGCTGCATACCACCATCTTCGCAGTTCTGGTGTTTGCTCAACTGCACACCTTCAAAGCAAGGCCTGTATCTTAACAATCTCCCTCAAATGAAAACTTATCCGTCAATATTTGATCAAGCAAATTGAGAGAAAAGCAAGAATAGGGTTGGTTGTCGCGAAGAGAGAAACATCGACCTCCTGTGGTTGGGACTTTTCACGGAATTGGTCCGTATCTTATCGGAACGCCTGCAGAGCAATCTCGGCACTCGTGTATAGCACGCTTCTTCAAAATTTAAGAGCAAGAGATTGGAATTTTATAACTTTACTCTTTGCCTCAAAATGAGATTGAAGAGGTTTGAGGCTGACAGGACCAACTATCCAGTCCAGTCTATGTCGTCTAAATAGCAAAGAGTGGCATATTTTGGCATAGGAAGCGGGAAGCTACCTAGGGCTACAAAAAATTTGACAAAATAACAGAATACTTTTTAAAAGATAGTCCAGAGCATTAAAACCATTAGCTCTGATCGCTATTTCAATTTTGAGTAATCAGCAAACATTGGGTCCGGTCCACAAGACTGGTTGGGTATATCATCTACGTTTGTCGTATGCTCCCCCGAAGGTCATCCCAATTCAACCCATCGACCTTTTTGCCACCCAAGCATTCAAGCTCAGGCTTGAGTTCACCAGTTCGCCCAGTTGCAAGGCGTCGCATCATCACAGTGTCCTTAGCCCCAGGAAGGGCACTAGCATTTCCCTGCAGTAAGACATGCTCGAACCACTGTTCCTCATCATCGTCAAGCGGAAGACCGACGAGCTCCATCGCACGTCTACTTCTGGTTTGGCCGGGGGTGGCCCTGTGAACAAATTCCACCAACTGCTCAAAAAAGCTCTGACGGAGAGTGTCGTCGTACTTGCGCGTGAAGTAAAATGCCTCTGTAACGTTGGTTCGGGCGAGTGTGTCGAAGAACGCTTTGCGGATCTTTGCGCTTGCAAGAGGAGGGGTCGCAGTGAGGTAGTAGGCGATTGCAAGGCTGTCATCATGCTTAGGAAGCTTTGTGAGCGTAAGAACGTAGAGGATTTCATCCGGGAAGGTAGGAATGAGCGAGGGTTCAGTTAGAAACTCCACTGCTCGCTATTATAATCAAATAACTGTCAGAAGGCGGCCGCATTGAAGAAGGTTCACAACGTACCCTGAAATCGAGTCGATCCAACTGCCAAAGACCTTCAATGAAAAAACGGTACTTTTCTGGGAGGTGGCATTGTTGCGCAAACTGAGACGAAGCTTCTGGTGCAGTACGACAGTCCTTGAGGATGTAATAGATCAAGGACTGTTTGTGATGGATATCGAGTTCCGAGGAAACGATGTGATTGAATAGTGTTCGGAGATCCGAATTGGACTTCGGCGGGTAGATCTTGGTCACTGTAGAAAATTGGTTGATTAGCATGAAGCTTTAAGCGCAGAGCTTCAAGTCACAATAATACCTCCTTGGATGCCGAGGAGTCCCAAAAGTCGATCGGCAAAGAGCAGGTCCAAAGAGCGCCGGCTAGATAGAATCTGGTCCAAAACCTTAGGTTCATATGAATATTTCTTATTAAATGAGAAGACATGATCGAAATTCCCCCATGGAGCCATGCTGAACATATTCAGAGAAGTGATGTGTTGTGTGAACAATTCCCAAGCTGATCTCCATGAAGCTCCGCGGAGGGGTAATTACCGTACGGTAAATTACGGCGGGACATGGCGGTGAATGGCTTGTTGTGGCAGAACGGCGGACACTTTACCCGTTTGGGCACGAGGTAAACAACCCACTTTCAACCGACAAAACCTCCGTCAAAAAACTACCCCCCCTCTCCATGCAGCAGACATCCCACTGACCTGCACAACATGGCTTCAGTCATAAAGGGCAGGGCTTCGCGCCGCTCTGCTCCCCGCCGGAGTTATGTCATTGAGGATACATCTGAATCGGAGGACCCCGGAAATGTTACACCAACATTCGATACGCACGATGACGATGATGAGGCGGAGGAGGATTACACCCCAGTCCCCAAGAAAGCAAGGAGGGCACCAAGCAAAAGAATGACTCTAGACCCTGTGACACCTTCTACTGCGCGCGCTGCCAGCAAGACCCAAGATGCGACAACAAATGATTCCGATGCGATGGATACCGATGCGATGGATACCGATGCTATGGATATCGACGAAGAGAATGACGAGAATGACGAGGGAGTTAGTATGGCTTCAATGGAAGGCGATTATGAATCTCCTTCCGGTAAAGCAGCATTGAAAAGAAAAAGTATGGCTCATCCCCGCAAGAGTCACGGCTCAATCACACCCAAGTCGGCACAGGGCTCACTTCCAACTCCAGAGCCATTCCAATCTCCAGAGCCTCAAGAAAGAGCGCACCGAGCAAGCGTACCACCTTTGTTGGGCATCACCGAATCCGCCGTGAATCAGTCGCCATCGAAGCATTTTGAAGAGCGCAAATCCCAGATTTCCATAATAAACCCGAACTCGACAGTCTTAGAGAGGCCTATGGACATCGTTGCTAAATCCAGAACGCAGCCCACTCAAGTGCCGGAGGAGCCTGCGGCGCCCAAGCCCCGGATGATTATTGACAACCTTATTCTGACAAACTTCAAGAGTTATGCCGGCCAGCAGATTGTTGGTCCGTTCCACGCCTCCTTTTCATCTGTCGTTGGACCGAACGGGTCCGGAAAGTCGAACGTGATTGATTCGCTTCTATTCGTGTTTGGATTCCGCGCCAGCAAGATGCGACAGGGCAAAATATCCGCGCTGATTCATAATTCTGCGCAGTACCCCAATCTTGCATTTTGTGAAGTCGAGGTTCATTTCTCACAAGTCCTCGATTTGCCTGAAGGTGGCCAGGAAGTGGTCCCAGATTCCCAACTAGTTGTTTCGCGACGAGCGTTCAAGAATAACACCAGCAAATACTACATGAACAAAAAAGAGACCAATTTCACCGCTGTGACGACCTTCCTCCGTGATCGCGGAATTGATCTCGATCACAAGCGGTTCCTGATTTTGCAGGGTGAGGTCGAATCGATCGCTCAGATGAAGCCAAAAGCCTCCAACGAACACGACGAAGGCCTCTTGGAATACTTGGAAGATATCATTGGAACTTCTAAGTACAAGACACCTATCGATGAAGCGGCAACCGAGCTTGAAGGTCTCAACGATGTATGCGTGGAGAAGAACAACCGTGTCCAGCATGTGGAGAAGGAGAAGGCAGCCTTGGTGGACAAGAAAGACAAAGCTCTGGCTTACATCCGAGAGGAGAATGAATTGGCACAGAAACAATCGGCCCTTTATCAGATCTACATCGACGAGTGCGCTGATAATGTTCGAGTTACAGAAGAGGCCATTCTCCAAATGCAGGAGCTACTCAATATGGAACTAGAGAAACACGAGGGAAACGAATCCGGCATTAAAGAACTCGAAAAAGCCTACAAAAGAGGGGTTCGTCATTACGAGTCGATAGAGAAAGAGACTCAAAACTTGCTCAAGGAGATGGCTAAGTACGACAAGGAGTCTGTCAAGTTTGAGGAGAAGAAGAAATTCTTGCTCGGCAAACAGAAGAAGCTAGAGAAAGCCATGCAGGCCAGCCGTCTTGCAGCTTCTGAATGCCAGAGCTTGGTCGAGAAGTATACCTATGACATTGAAAAGAAGACTGCTGAAACCACTCAACTGGAAAAGGAGATGGTGACAGAAGAAAAAGAATTAAATTCAATTCGCGAGGGCCTTAAAGGCAAGACGCAAGGCCTATCTGATCAGATTTCCGAGAAACAGAAGTCACTGGAGCCTTGGAATGCGAAAATTAACGAAAAGCAGTCTGCAGTCGCGGTAGCTCAGAGCGAGCTGGACATCTTGCGGGAGCGTGGCAATGCTGGCGCTGTACTTCTTGAAGAGGCACAGAGCAAGATTGTTACAATCGAAGAGAGTCTACAAGCCAAGCAAACCGACCTCGAAGAGCGACAAGCCCAGAAAGAAACTTTGGAGTATGAAGTGGCGAAGCTTAAACACGACTTGAAGAAATACGCTGGCCGTGAGCCCGAGGTTCGTTCGCATGTCTCAAGTGCCCGCCAAAAAGCAGACGAGGCACGAGTCAGTCTTGCAAGCACACAAAACCGCGGAAGTGTCTTGACTGGGTTGATGCGTCTAAAGGAGTCTGGCCGCATCGATGGTTTCCATGGCCGACTTGGCAACCTGGGCACAATTGACGAGAAGTATGATGTCGCTATTTCTACAGCTTGTCCTGCTCTCGACAACATGGTGGTGGAAACTGTCGAAGTCGGCCAACAATGCATCGACTATTTGCGTAAGAACAACCTTGGTCGAGCGAACTTCATTCTTCTTGATCGCCTTCCCCGTCGTGACATGTCAACGATCTACACACCCGAAAGCGTTCCTCGTCTATTTGATCTTGTGAAGCCAAAGGATCCCAAGTTCGCCCCAGCTTTCTACAGCGTGATGCAAAACACGTTGGTTGCCAAGGACTTGGAGCAAGCGAATCGTATTGCCTATGGTGCTCGCAGGTGGCGAGTGGTGACAGAAGATGGCCAGTTGATTGATGTGTCAGGAACAATGAGCGGTGGTGGCACCCGTGTCGCCCGAGGCGGTATGTCGTCAAAGCAAGT